CCGCTATTGGTTATAAAGTAAAGTTCAAGTCAAACTTGACTCAAGTTTGCTTCTTGCATTCCACCCTAGATGTACTCATGTTAGCCTAACACTTAATGCAGTAAGTTTCGGTTGGTAAAAATCCTCGATTCGCCTACGCTTCAAAGTCATTGTTAATCGGATTGATAAGATAATATAAATACTGTAATTTAATAATTTATATTTGAATAAAATAATTTTTCATTTAGTCAAGCTGAAACAATGTAGTTACAAAATAACAATTTTAAAAATTGTATGAACATAAAAAAACTAGATAAAAACGTTATCAATAAACTACAATTTTTTTTTTTTTTTTTTACTTTACGTTCTATTGTATTTTAAAATTGTATTACGTTCTTTTGCATTTCGAACGTTCTATTGCATTGATTTAAATAATATCAAAATTAATTAAATTTAAGCATATTCTTTATAAGCACGATTTTACTTCTGTTTTTTGAATTTAGTCTAGTCTGTTTTTAAAATTTTAAAGGGTTATAAAAAGAAACATGTACGTTTTACTATAACTACCTTTTATACAACATGTTTTTCAGCGCAATGACTCCATGAAAAGTTGTAGTCATCTTTGAAAAACCTCTCCAAGGCCGTGAAGTGGTCTTCGTGGCCTTAGAAAAGTGAAACTGAAATAAAAAAACAATAATAATAAAAATTTATTTAAAACTGTCATAAGTCCTTAACTAGTCAACCAATCCGGCTGAAATTTTATCCAGAGTTTGATGCGGTCATATGCTACATTTGCATCAAACTATTTATCAAATTATATAAAAAGGTTCTTATTTTACATGTGCTTTTATTGTGATACAATAAAATCAAAATTTCATTTATATTGAACATTCAAATAATAGTAATTTTCCGCGGACAAAATTAAAAGATTTCAAAATTTTTATCACAGGGTACCTTGATGTGTACGCTATTACTCTATATAAGTAGCGTCCTTGGGTTAGCTAGGTTGGTATTACAAGGATCCGTGCTAACCTTGAATTTTAAAAATGTGCAAATCAATTGATTCTGATTTTTTTCTTGTTGACTGAAAAATTTTTATATCTTTCGTCTTCTTCCGAAACATCTCAAAAAAATTTGACGCGCTCGTTAACTTCATTATTACCAGTGATGACTTAGAAAACAGTTAGTATTAGGGTTGTTCGCCGAAAAACAAAACTTGCGAAAATTTCGCATTTTTATCTACCGTAATAGAATTGTTATTACGGAAGTTGCACATGCGAAAATGCACATTCCGTAACGCGCTATACGAAAATATAAATAAATAAAATTCCGTAATAAAGCATTGCGAAAGAAAACTTGCGAAACAAATCATTTCGTAAGAATACTTACGAAATAGTTCCTTACGGAAAAAGCATTCCGGAATGTGTAGTTACGAAAAAGACGCAAAAGATTTTATGTTACGATATATTTAAGATATTAACCGTTAACAGTTCAAATAATAGATAATAAAATTATAAAAAAATGTTGTCAAATGATTCTTCAAATGTTTATACAAATATACCTAATATATATATATATATATATATATATATATATATATATATATATATATATATATATATATATATATATATATACATTAACGGGATTTTACTGTATATATATGTGTATATATATATATATATATATATATATATATATATATATATTTATATATATATATATATATTCATATATATTATATATATATATATATATATATATATATATTTTACTGTATATATATGTATATATATATATATATATATATATATATATATATATATATATATATATATATATATATACATATATATATATATATATATAAATATATACTTATATATACAGTAAAATCCCGTTAAGTTTAACTCTCAATGAATAGATAAACAGTATGCTATTCTTTTTAAAAAGTATAAAGAGGATGTGTGATAAACAATTAAATACTTTATTATAAAGAACGAGAGATCTCTCTAAAGGTAAATGATATCAGAAAGAGTAAAAAGAGAAGAAATATATGTGAAACAGCGGGATGTGAACCTGGGTCTACGCGGCCAAATGTCTTAACTGAATGAGCTATACGTTCATTCAACTAAGAGAATAGTAATATTTATTTAATATATAATTTGAAACTATATAAAATATAATTTCCCTGAGGCTGTATGAGCCTCAGGGAAATTATATTCAGAAATAGTTATATTAGACTCAGAGTTAGCTAGAAATTATTACAAAGTATTTAGGACAGATGTCTAGTACAAAAAGCAAAAGATTTAAAGCAAAATGAATTATATTATTTGAAAAAATTGTTTTACGTACATTTCATCATAATTTAAGTAGAACTTAGTAAAGCAAGGGAAACGTGTTAAATTATGCACAATGAACTCAATCTTAAAAGAATAACTAACAGAAGAGAGGTTGTCACTATTGTGAAGGCGACGAAAGATCTGTAATATAGAACATGGAGGTCAAAAAATGCTATCTTAAGTAAAAAGAGTTTGATGAACAAAAGTTACAATGGCTGCGGGATGCGAACCCGGATCTCTGCGGCGAATTATCACGTATCTAACTGATTGAACTATACAATCTTATACTCAAATTTATATCTTATTAAAATTAAAAAACAATATTTTCTATGATCTATACTTTGAAAAGCGTATTCAAACAGGACTCTACATACCTTTAAAATCTGCTAGAATTTTAGTAACGTGCACACTTTTAGAAATAATTGAAATAGGTATATTTTATCAGAAATATGCTTAAGCTAAAGCATATTTTTGAGCCTCTTTTTACTATTTGCTTAAGCATATTCGAACCTGTTTCAAAAATTTCATATGCTTTAAAAAAAAAACATGTATATTCCTACCCATCATTCTTATTTTTAATATACGTAATGAGTTCAAAAAACATCGTTGTATATATTTATTAAGGCACGTTTCGTAAGTTTATTTCCGTTAAGAATTCTTTCGTATGTTGTGATCCGAAATACTTTCGTTTCGAAAGAAATTTTATTTTTTATTAATATTTCTAAAAATAAAACCGTAAAAATTTAATAAGTTATTTTACTGAAAATAAAAATTCATTATAAACATTTTGGGATTTAAAGATGTTAATTTTTACAATTAAAATCAGTCTGGCAAACAAATTTTCTTTATAGACTTCAAAACGTCGTTTGGCAAAAATGTTTGTTTCGCAAGTGCGACTTCCGAAACCGCTACTTTCGTATGTTGCAAAATAGTTTTGTTTCGTATGTCAACTTGCGAAATGCTAAATTTCGGAAGTGGCTTTTGCGAAATGAACATCGGCGATTTTAAATGTTTCGTAACATTCGGTACGAAAAAATGTAATTCCGTGTTCTCAATCTCCTTACGAAAGAATGTTGTTTTTCCGGAATTGCACGAAATCCTCCGGTTAACAACCCTAGTTAGTATGCGATAGTATCTTAAACAGTTTTATGGATATACTTTTCCATTGTGATGTTTAATTGTGATAGAGTCATTGCAGACTGGAAAATGATATTTCCGTTGTTGATATCATAAAATAAAATTATTAAACTGTTCAGGAAATGGGGGGGGGGGGGGCTGAATGAAGTGTCCGCCCCCCAGTATTTTAGTTGGGGGGGGCTATCGCCCCTCCGCCCCCTATTTCTACGCCACTATATATATATATACAGCGCCGGCCTTAGCTTTTTTGACAGGTTGGGCAAAACTTGTGAACGCGCCCCTAGGTATATATGTGTGGGTTGTTACATTAACAACGAGACCAATGCTCTAAAATGATGAACAAGAGTGCTAAAGGGAATATATAGTTTAATGCAAAGAGATCCATATTGTGCATCAAGTTTCTTATTCAATTAATTTTTTATTAAAATTATAAACTTAGACTTTTCATGATATGGGTTTATAGAAATGAGTGACTAAATAAATAGACAACGCAACGCTGCTTTTAAAATAACAAATGTTTTTATTAAACATATATAGTAAATCATCTAACTATATAAACAAGAGTTAAAATCTAACTTTTCTAGCTTTTTTGTCCGCGAAATCTCTAATCAAACTAGAAAAATCTAAATTTTCAGCTATATCTTGCTCGATTGATAACATAGATAGAGAATTAAGTTGATCTTGCAACATGGTATTTCTTAAATATGTTTTGATTAACTTCAGTTTAGAAAAACTACGTTTTCCACTAGCAACAGTAACAGGTATTGTAAGAAGAATGCGCAGAACAATCCATGAATATAACTCTTGTAGACAATGTTTTTTAATAAAATTCAGTACAAAAAGTGGTGTCATCTCTTTTGTATTTATTTCATTTTCAACATTGCTTAGTTTATCTTTAATAAAAAACTGCACACTTATTAGTTCGTCGCATAGCAAAGCACCATCAATTTCTGATTTTGTATTTACAGTTAATTTTTCTTGTAATTGTTTACACAATTTTAAAAGTTCATTCTTGATGGGCAAATTATCCAAATTAAATAAAAAAACTCCATATATTTACATATTTATTAAGTTGTTCAAATCTTTCATTTATTGACGACAGACATGTATCTGATTAAGGGTTAAAAAATGTCACTTCAAGTTTCTTCTCGGGATTTTGAATTGGTTCGTCAGCAGCATTTTCATCATAATGACGTTTCACTCGTCGCACTCTTTTAAGCGGCTTAAATATTGCATCGATGTTAAACTCTTCAGCTAACTCTTTAGCATCAACCGTTGCTTGTTTAAAGCCAAACGTTCTGTAATTTTCCAAAAATGTGATGCATTTTTTCAACATTTCAGCGCACTGTACTAGATACATGTCTTTGGCTTGCATTGCTTTACTAACAACGTTTATTTGGAATAGTACATTGTACCGTGCAATTAAAGAAACTAAAAAACTATAGTCTTTTAATTGTTCTGCTAATGTTTGCGCATCGTGTGCAATATTGGGAGTTTTGGTTTCAGTTTCATATATAGTAATTAAAGCATCATGTACGCTGCTTATTTGGTATTGGATGGCTTTGAGGCTCTCAATAATCGTTTAAGAGTGAAGTTTGTTGTATGACTAAGTAAAACATTCCAGCGTGAAGTTGATGCAGAAAATAATGTGAATAATCTTTGTATTATGCCAAAAACGTGAATGGAATTTAGTGAAGACTGCGCTGCGTCACAAATAACCGAATTGAGAGAATGACTTCCACATGGAAGGTAAAAAGCCAAAGGATTCAAATCTAATATTCGCTTTTGTAGACCTATTTTTTTACCTTTCATATTTGCACCGTTATTGTAACCTTGCCCTCGACAAAAGCTTATATTCAGTCCAAAATCTTTTAAAGCTCCAATTATGATTTCTGTTAAACCAAGACTTGCCGTGTCGTTAACATTGAAAAACCCAAGAAAGTGTTCATTTATTTTATTAGGATATTCTGATATATTTACAATTTTAATCGTAAGCGAGAGCTGTTCTTTGTGAGATACGTCAGGAGTGGAGTCAGCAATAATAGAACAATATGTACTTTTTAGAGCTTTGGATATAATTATGTTGGTTACTTTTGATGCCATTATATCTATCATTTCATTTTGAATGGTATCAGAAATATCTCCTTTAAGAGCTAGCGTGACGTAGTTTAACATGATAGGATCAAATTTAGCGAGTGATTGTACCATAGCGAGTGATCCTAAAAATTTGCCGTTATTAACTGCATACAATTTATCAGAAGAACCTCTGAAGGCCATATTATTTGTTGCCAAGTATAAAGTAATGTTCATTAATCGTTCAAGAACACTTCGCCACCTTAAACTGTCCTTTTTGATTAGTTTTTGTTCTTGTTTATCAATAGTTTCACCAGCTTTCATTCGTATTTCTGTCTCAATCCATAGTTGATAAGCAATTCTGTGTGACTTACTATTTTCGTGAATTTTTAATGCTTCTGTTAAATTCTTCCATTTATTGAATCCATTTCCGTTTACCTTTAAATTCATGTTGAAATCAAAAAGTTTGCAGCAAAAACAAAATACCGCATCTTTAGAAACTGAGTACAGAAGCCAACGTCGTGAAATAACCTCACCATTTGAAAGTTTTCGGTTGTAATAAGCATTTGAAAAATGTCGTCTTCTATTATCGCGTGGATATGTGTCCAAATTAACTTGAATTGCACCTATATTAATTACATAATCAACAAATTTAATGTTGCGATGAATTGGCCACAAACCACAGTCTGAGTAATCGATTGCTGTTCCCTTGGCGCGATTATTCACACCACCGTCTTGGCCATCATCATTTTCGTTATTAATATCTTTTTCATCGTAGTGAACATTTCCAACTGACACTATTCCGTCTTCTTCATCGCTAGTTGATGTATCACTAATTACATGCGCAACATTTTCTCCTTCCTTTATTTTATTACAATCACTATTTTCCGATGTAAAAAAATATTCAAGTTTTTTATTTTCAAATTTTTCAACTTTTTCAAAGTTTTCAAATTATCAACTTTTTCTGCTTTACGTTTTCCGTATTGAGCTCCAGATGGTTTCTTATTAGTATGAGTTTTAAAAACATTTTTTTCTTTATTATGAGTACTCTCGATTGATTGCTGCTGACAGTTTCTATTTGTCTAAAATTTTAAAATAAACAATTTTTCGCAAGCTAATAATTCATAAACAATTTCAGTATTTATACTTACCTGCTTTTTATTACCGCAAAATTTGAAAACTTGACAAAAAGTGAATTTGAATCACAAATACAACTTTAAATTTCTTCTACAAATTAATCAAATTTCTTCTACAAATTTTCGTACCTAAAATAATGTTTAAAATTTAAACTTTAAATAAATGGAACGCAAAATATTTGCCGCCGAGAAAGATACAAGTAAAAAAATGAATTTAAGTAACAAAATATATGCTATGATTGAAAAACTTTTAATCAAATTATTAATTTTGCATAAAAAATTTTTAGCAGTGTAATAATACAATAAATAAATTATTTGAAGAAATTATTTTTATAAAAAAAACAAACATTACAAAAAATCGAAAAAATTACAAAAAATCGAAAATCGAAATCGAAAAAATTTAGGTTGACTTATTTTTTCTATTTATTATATTGTTAAAGTTTGCATACAACGTTTGGCGCCCCAGTTTCCTGGCGCCCTTGGGCGGCACCCAACCTCGCCCCCCCTTCCCTCCTAAGGCCGGCACTGTGTGTATATATATATATATATATATATATATATATATATATATATATATATATATATATATATATATATATATATATATATATATATATATATATCGCGAGGTTAGGTATATATATCTCCACTTTTTGAAAAAAATGAGTTATTAATTGTGTAATGTACCTCAAAATAATGTTTTTCTACTATATTAAAACCTAAGTTAAAATCAAAAAAGTTTCGGAGAAAACATAAGTAATAAAAATCTTTTTAAATGCCGTCTCCTAAAGTTTTTATTTTTTAAATCGTTTTATCTCGAAACAAAAAAATGTGGAGATGCAGTAACATCATTTTTGTTTTAGTTTTTATGAATTTTGTATAACGGTTTTTTCAGTTTGACAATGGTTTATACAATAAAAGCCGAAATATCACCATTATAATAAAAAATAATATATGTGTTTAATAATAAAAATAATATATGTGTTTAATGAACATGTTTAATGAGCATGATGTGTTGATGTATAATATATGTGTTTAATGAACATGTTTAATGAGCATGATGTGATGATGTATATATATATATATGTATATATATATATATATATATATATATATATATATATATATATATATATATATATATATATATATATATATATATATATATATATATATATATATATATATACAACAAAACAAGTAATGGCTCGAGCAAGAAGAAGACATAATTCTTATCACCCAGCCCCATTTTTATAAAATCGTGATTTATTAATATCATATCATATTGGCGTAAATATACAAAGTAGTAATTAATTAATTGCTAAAATGCTTACATTATCTGCAGTTGCAAAAAGGAAAAGAAGGCAGCTGCAGTTGCAAAAAAACGATTATAGACTTGAAAAAAAAATAAGATGAAAAAAAAAAAGAAATATATGCATATATTTATATTGACAGAGTAATATCATAAAAAAACTTTGTTATGGTAGATTGTGATAATAGCATTCTTTTAAAAGAATTTTTTTTTTTCGAAGTTATCTTGATATTTTATTTGACCTTTACTTTATTTAAAAGAAACATTTAAAATCTAACATACTGAGATCATTAAATAAAAACAACCGTTTAGATTCTTTTTTAAATCGATTAAGTGTTTTTTTGTTTATTTATAATATCTGAAAATAAATTCCATAAATATGGCCGACGATAATTAATTGAGTATGAACTCAATTTTAAAATATATCTTGAGACAGCAAAGTTTTTTACAAATATATATATATATATATATATATATATATATATATATATATATATATATATATATATATATATATATATATATATATATATATATATATATATATATATATATATATAGGGTTGCCATATCTCCGGATTTGCCCGGAGATCTCCGGATTTTAAGGCAAAAAATAAGGCTCCGGGGGATTTCCGAAAAAAACATGAAATCTCCTTATTTTGGAGGTTTTTATTTAATTTTTATAAAAATTTGATATTTAATACTTATATGTATAGAACTGAAAATGTAAAAACTGTTAAATGTAAAATGTTTTTAGTCACTAAAAATTTATTGAAAATCTCACACAGCACGTGTTCTCTTCTCTTGATTACACAATATTGAAAAACGCGCGCGCATCTAAACTTGCGAAAACGAAAGTTGTGATCGATAAATTACGTTAAGATAATAAAGTATTTTGGTTGCTGCTACACAAGAGATAGTTTCTTTAATTTAAAGTTTTTAAAGTAAAAGAATTGCTGCACTCTCAATAATTTTGATTAAAAAAATGTTTTCTAGTTTAATAAAGAGAGGAATGAGTGTGAAGCCAAATTCAAAATTTGCCTAGCTGGATCATTCATTTATGTTTCTACCAAAGATAAACAAATTATTTTATGTTAATTTTATTTATCTAGTTCATCTTAAAATCATAATTAAGCCAAGATTATGTAAGTTATGTAACCTTTGACCTGTTATTAGTCTCATTAACAAGAGTTAAAAGCTTTAAGTTAGATGAAACTTGACAGTATCCCTATTTGGGATCAAGTTAAAGACTTAATTGTAAACAAAAAGCCCTTTTTTAATGTTAATAAATCATTGAGCCATGACCAATTTTTGAACTTATAAGTTCATAAATTGGTCATGGCTCAATGATTTATTAACATTAATTTGGTCATCAAAATAACAAAAACTTATTGTAAAAGATAATTTTCAACAAAAAAAAGTATAATTAGTATGATTCATCTTCCCCCGTTAATAGTTCTTGCTCTGTTCCAACAAATGATTGGTCGAAAACTGTGAAATTGATAACTGATTCAAGTGATTAGTTAGATACAAGTGAACAGTGGTTACAAGATGACAATAGAGACAAGTTAAATAATGGAGGAATAATTATTGGCTTGCATTTATATAGTATAGTATATTTTAATATAGAATAACTAATAAGACTTAATTCATCAAAAATCAATAATTGTAAGACAGCAATAAAATTGAATATGAACATTTTGCAATTGAAATTAGGTTAATTTTAATTGCAAAACCAGCAATTTGTGTTGAAAAAACAAATGACATTTAAAAAAAAAGGGTTATTATTTATTTAATTCTCATAAAAGGGGTCGACTCTGGAAATGCCTCGTTAAATAATAAGAATTCTCATTCATTTAACACGTATTGTAAAATCAGGGGCGAGTTATGTCACTTGCCAAAAAAGGGGGCTAAAAAGGTCAACAACAAAAAAAGTCTGCATATTTTCATTTTTAATTTTTTTTTAATTTTTTGTACTTTAGTGTAATAATCAAGTTCATATACGTATAATTACGTATAATAGTCAATTTCATTTGTCGGTGTAGTAGTCCAATTCTGTATAATAGTCAATTTACAAAAGAATTTTTTGAAAAAAAGTCATAAAGGGGAAGGGGGGCTACTACCCATTCCCCCCCCCTAAAACCCGCCACTGTGTATAACCTCCTCTTTTTCACTGATTACCATATGGCAACCCTATGTATATATATATATATATATATATATATATATATATATATATATATATATATAAGATAATTTATTTTACTTTTTTTATAGTATTTAACTTAAGGTGCGGTGCAACTTGTTTCATGTACAAAAGTCGCAACAAATGCGGAAATGAACTACTACGTGAAGTCGTGAAGAAATTCTTGCAGCCAAAAAAAGTTAAATGGGTCAGGAGAACGCAGACGTCACATTGTTGACTATTGTTCAACCAACAAATGTTTAAGGATTGTTTCGTACCAAACATTGTGACACAATATACAAATAATCATAATAGTTGAAGTACAAGTTTTTTAAGAGTAAAAGTTCCAGGTAACAAATGAAAAACGAAGATGAGTAAAATATATTTATTAGTTAAATTTTAACAAACATTTTAATTTTTCCTCAAACAAAGAAAGCAATTCATTGAAATCATTTGTTCTGTAAAAATTCTATATGAAATGTCAAAATTTCTGACTCCCAATCAAAATGAGAGGGTGTAAATTTTGCATGATCATAACTTTTTAATATACTTAATCATGTTTTTAATATACTTAGTTATTGTATATTTGTTTATACAAACGGACTATATTTATGTTTGAAGTTTGCTAATTGTGTAAAAATTTGTTAAATGTGTGAAATATATATATAATATATATATATATATATATATATATATATATATATATATATATATATATATATATATATATATATATATATATATATTTATATATATATATATATATTATATATATATTTCACACATTATATATACATTATATATATATTATATATATATTTCACACAATATATATATATTATATATATATTTCACATATATATATATATATATATATATATATATATATATATATATATATATATATATATATATATATATATATATATATATATATATATATATATATATATATATATACATACATACATAAGGTCTGTGTCCCAATTTATGATTTATGTGGTTATCTCGCAATCGGCCTAACCTTGGTTTCCGATGGTAGGTCAAAGGTACGTGAAACTAAGTGTAAACATTGTGCCAATTATGATGTGCTTGCTGGGTCGAGGTTTTCATTGAACCTCAAAAAGAGTTCTAAACAAGAAAACAAACCTAAAAAAATGCACTACAAATATATGATTTACCTTTTGATTTTAATCTTTTGTTACAGCTAACGGAAAACCAAGTTAAGAAAAAAAAAAATTGAAACATCAAAACGGTATGTTAAACATCAAAATGCTTATTGATTTTTGAAGACGTCCTCAATGAGGACATTAGGCGTTGTGATAAGCAATATAATAAAAGACTTTTGCACCCAAAAACATTTATTTGAATCAAAATATTTTCCCAATTTCAATTATAACCAATCCCAAGACGTTGACATATAAGTTTTGAAACTTAGATTTCCTCAAAACATCTTAAAGTCTTTTTAATAAAATGCGTCCTAAAGTGCTACTAACAATAATTTTTATAAATTGATTTATGGTAATATATATTAATCGTTATGATCTTGTTTCATTCTTTATATACTTGTAAACGTCAATTTAATTCTCAGTATATACTATTTATTCTTATAAAAACTTGTGAAGTAGTAACGCGGTGTTCGGCGAAAGTTTTTTTCTTGCTTCGGCCGTTAACTTAATTGTAAACTTGTGTATTGCAATTTGAAATATTTATTTAACATAGTTCCTATCCCACTTTGTTGAAGATAACAATTTCTATGTTTGTTTTTCGTCTTTAACTAAAAATAGAAAATGCATTTTCTATTTTTAGTTAAAGACGAAAAATAACCCTTCTTATGTTGTTGTCACAAACATAGAAAGTGTTATCTTCAACAAAGTAGTATAAGAATTATGTTAAATAAATGTTTCAAATTGCAATACACAAGTTTACAATTAAGTTAACGGCCGAAGCAAGAAAAAGACTTTTATTTTCTATTTTTAGTCAAAGACGAAAAACAATTTCATGGTTTTCTATAAACAAAATTGTTGATCCTGATAAATTTCAAATTCAGTTAGTTTTCTTATAAAGATGCGATGGTCTGTTTATAAATGTTGGTAATGTTTTAGTCCTCGCTTCTTCTAAGGTTAAACTTCTCGGGTTTACAAATGATAAAGTCTTAAAGTTTGACGATCTTATTAAAAATCTATGTGGGAAATCAAATAGTAAATGCTTTGTTTTCTCTCGTATGAAAAACTTTTTATCTCGAAAACAAGTTACTCTTTTATTCAATTCTTTTATATTGTATAATTTTTTTTTACTGTCAATTGATAAAGATTTGTCAATTTGCTCAAAAGGTGATAACAATGTTTGGAACTTCTGGCCATGCACAGCGAGCATTGAATATCCACCATTGTATCTTTAAGATTTATGAAATTTTATAACAAATTTATGAAATTTTATAACAAATTTTTATATCCCCAAAGAGCTGGCGTGCTGGATTCGAAAATGAAAATTGCGATACTAAGCTAGGAACTGTAGAATTTATCTCCGGTCCCACCAGGCTTGATTGCAATCCTTAGTTCATATGCGTAATAAATTAGCAACATCTATCATATTAGTAGCATCTGACCGGCGGAACCCGTTGAATACAACTTTAAGCTCAAACTCTATGTATGCTTACAATAACTAAAATCAATTACTAAAGAATTAATTAAATATATAGGATATAATATAAAACAACTCACTGGATTCCATATATTTTTTGTTCCATGACGAGTTGTCTATTGCAACTGAATGTTTTTTTTGAAAAGTCAGTCTATTATATAAAATGCTTATGAATATAATTTAATTACGAAACTATCAAAATTTAAGAAAAATTTTTACCTTATTACTCATGTTACTTATTTAATAATTACTATATATATCATAAAATAAAACTTATTTTTAAAAATAATAAAATTTTAGTGTTATTGCCAATTTAACTTTGTCTTAAAGATTCAAAGCGCCTTAATTCTGTTGGTTCATGTTATATGTGATAAGCCAGGGTTTATTTTTTAATTTTAATTCGAAGGGCCACTTTAACCTTATTCTTTTATTGACCCATTTAAATCTTGTAGTAACTTTTAATGACAGAAGTTTAATTCATTAAATGGAAAAAAGAAAGAAGAGAAAGAGTTTTAAGCAACGTTTTATTTGTTTTAATGTTTTAAATAGAAGGAAAAGTAGGAAAAAGGTATCTTGTACAATATAAGCAAAAGTTTAATATAGTAATTTATCGTTTTTTGTCACATCTTTATTTACTCTAACACTACTTAGTTATTAAACTTTACTAATTAGTAAGTTTTGTTAGGCAAATACTATTGCATTATATCGTTTACTCACTAAAATGTACAATATGTAAAATATACATTTTCAAACATAATTTTTATGTTAACCTTCAAGCATTAATTTATAAATAATCTGCTTTGAAACAAATTTTTTTCTAATAAAAATTATCTTAATAATTTTAAAGTTAACAAATTGTGCTCTGAATGTTTTTGCATCTTTTCTCTCATGGTAACAAGATACTAAGAAACACATGTTTTTTTCTCTATATATATACATATAAGCAGTGTTGTTTAAAATACTTTCAAAAAAGTTTTTAAAATAAAACAAATAATTTATCAAAAAGTATTTAGAATACAAATACAAAATCATTTCAAGCAAAAATAATTAAAATATAAAATGCTCTGTATCAAAGTATTTTTTAACAAGTATCAAAATACTTTTTTAATTCTTGAAAGCAAAGCAGTACAAGTTTAAAAAGACTATTGAATCAAATCTAAATGTTTATTGGGATTCAGCAATAACAGTTGTTCAAAATGTTTATCTGACAGCTGATTTTAGTGTGGCATAGCAATTAAGGCTCATCATAAATTAGATGTTCAACTGGACTAGACAATGCTAATGAAGATATGTACAAGCTTTCTTCAAGATATCGTAAATACTTGATAGTGGCGGCTGACTGACTAGCTAGTATGCAGTTTACTCTAGGTGTTTCTAATGTCAATTTTTCTTTAGCATCTGCCAGGACTTCACCTGAATTAAAATTTGGCGCTTCTTCTATAAAGGCTTTTTTAACCCAGTCTCTCTTTTACCCTAAAACTTATCGCAGCTTCAAATGAGGATAAGATACAGTCACATAGATAAACTTGTATTCATTTAACTGCCTCTCCTAATAACATTGAATTGTTACTTTTAACTGCCTAATTACATTTAACTGCCTCTCTCTAATGTTCTTTCTTATCAGCGTTCAGCAGTTGTTAGGATGAAATATAAAGTTTAATAGCTCCATAGTACTTGTCTACTAATATAACATAGCATTTTTCAAGCAATAAGCCTTCAAAGTTGGATGCTCAGTTAAATGTTAAGATATAGAATGTTAAAATCTTATTTAAAAGTGTTACACTGTACGCATTTTATTCGAAAAAGATCAATTCAGAAGGTGCATAAAGTTTTAAAAACTCATTATGTTTATTAATATCAAGTAGCTGTTGTAAAAGAAGAATAAACTGTATTAAACAGGCATGGCAAAGTTAAATTTAATATATTTAATAATAATAATTTTGGTAATGTTATGTGGGCAACCAAAATATTGTTTATGTTTTTCTTGAGTCGTTTGCTAAATTTATCAAGTGTTTTTTTTATTATTATTATTATTTTCTATTTTTTGTAGATTTCACCCGCAGGGGAAAAACTGAAAAAAATATCCTGGACTACTAAAATACAACTAACAAAAAACTGTTAGATTAAAAATAATTTTTTTAACAAAAAAAAGTTAAAGATATTTTATTATTCTCTCTTGATCTTCAATCAGTTATTAATTGTTTAAAGTATTTTTAATTTAATTTAAAAAATATGACTTCTTAATTAAGAAAAATAAATTTAACTTGCAATCATTACTTTTTTCATGAATATTGAACCATAACTTCTATTATGAATATTTTTATTTTATTTCATTTTTTTAATTTTTTAAATAATTCATTATGCTGGTTTATTTGAACTTATCAAGTTTATAAAAAATAATTAAGATAAGATTAAAAAAGAATAAAAAAAAATATTTTAAATAATAAAAAATATATTTTTTTGTACTTTTTGTGATTGTTGCATAATTTTAAAATTTTGTAAAAAGCTTTTTACTTTAAATACACAAATTTGAAAATTCAATGCATATTTGTATTCATAAAATACAATATATTTTAACTTTTTTTTAAGCTTATTGAGCAAGAAGCAAGAGAAGATGATGAAGCAGCTAAATTACTCCAAGAAAAATCAGAAAAGACTCCAGATGTTAAATGTAACACAAATGGAGTAACACCTAAAGAACAGGTATCTTTTGAAATATTATTTTAGATATTATATCTAATATCTTAGTTTGAATTAAGAATAAATTCTGAGTCTTTAGACTTTGGTAATTCCTTTGAAGCACCTTTAAGTCATAAAAGTTTTAGTATATCAGGCCTACTCGTAAGATATGTTATATGACCACGCATATAGTTTTTTATTTTAATATCTTGACCACAGCTCATTGCAAGTTTTGATAATTAGCGCATTTAAAAATTGCGCTAAAAAAAACAAAGCAAATTAAAATAAACAATCCATAAACTAAAAAGAAAATAAAATCCTTAAAATAATATATATATATATATATATATATATATATATATATATATATATATATATATATATATATATATATATATATATATATATATATATATATATATATAACAAAAATTAACCTAAAAAAGTAAAATATTTAAAGAATGTTAAAATAAATAAAGGAAAAACCAGAAAAAAAATCAAAACACATATTAATTAATTTAAACTTAATTGGAAGCAAAAATGAAAAAATCACAGCTCTGATAATCTTTATCATTCCTTCCCATGAATAAATAGGCTAATACAAGGGCGAATCCATAGTGAGGGTAAGGGTCATGAAATTTAATAAAACTTTGTGGTGCAAATTTAAAATTTTATTAAAAAGTTAATAGGATACAGGATGCAATAAATCGACAAATGTGCGCGCATTTCTTTAAGACAGACAGAAAAACAAACATCGCGTTTCTTTATTTTGCTTATGCAAACGTTGCCATTTGATTATGATTTTTCAAAACAAACGCATTAATACAGCAATTTTTTTAAAATAATTTTGCGATCAATAGTTTTTTATTTATTACAAAAAACACATATTTAAAATGAAAAAAAAATTAATTACAGAGACTTTTTTTAAAAAATGCCAAAACATAATTACTTTTTTCAATAGCGTCACTTCTAAGTCAAATAAATAGAAAAAAGTAATTATGTTCTAGCATGGTTTTTGCATGCGCTCACTAAAGTATGATAATTTTAGTTAAAATAGATGCTTTTGCAAAAACTTCAAAAGAAACCGTCCTTAAACAATTTGATTGCTTTCTTTTATTGAAGAAAGCGATCATAAAGTTTAAGCTTGGTTTCTTTTCTGCTTTTAGCAATTTCATTGAAAGTTTAAAGCGAATGATTTTATTATAAATAAAATTGTGCATGCTTTTTTTTTAATTTTCTTATTTTCCATAAACTGAAATAATGTGTATTTGCATATTAAAAACACTTTTAAAAGTTTTTTATTGTGCGTTTATCATTAATTTGCGCGCGCTTTGCAAATGTGTAAAAAAAAAGTTTTTGAAAAATAACAATTGAATAAGTTTACCAAGCATCTTTGATATATTTAATAGCTTATTAACTAGAATAAAAATTGTTTGAAATTTGTTTGACATAAATCTCTTAAATTAGACGTTCGTCACTAAATAAAGATACACAAGTCAACGTTTATTAAAAAAAACGGTATGTCACGCCCTGGGATAAAAAATAGTTGGCAAATGCGACTATTTCTAGATTATTGTAATTCTTTTTTTTTTAGTAAATAATTTCTTTATTAGAAATTATAGTTCCATGATAAAAAGGTTTGTAATTTGATAGCTTCTGTACTCATTTTGCCTTAAACTCTAATCTGAATATTTTTTTCAACGATTGCTTTTATTAAGTTGCATTAAAGTACTTAGGAAATTTTGTGGCAGTCTAATTGTAATTATGGAATCAATTGAATTAAAAATTGCATTTACATTTGCTTTGTTTTCTTTTAGCGCATTTTTTAAACGCGCTAGTTATCGAAACTTGCAAAGAGCCGTGGTCAAGTTGTTAAAACAAAGAACTATATGCGTGGTCATATAAGGCGTCCGATCGCACGCCTCTTATGAGAAGGCCTGTATATGACGGCATGATAGACTTTTGACAAATAAAATTCTGGAAAATTTTATATTTATTTTTATTCATAAATTTTTTCATTATTTGTTTAGTTATTTATTTTCTAATTTTAACATTTAAAAAGATATTTAAAACCTCAAATATTTTATGCTCATTTGCTGCTATAAATTTTTATTGCGCTATATCACCCAAAACGAACGTTTTTATTTAATTCTAGATAAACAATTTTAAAAAAAAATGTTCATATAAATACATTCAAGTTAATTAAAATAAAAATGTAAAAAATGTAAATTCCAAATGAAGTAACTAAAAATAACCAGCAAAAAGGACCGTTTAATTTAAATGTAAGTAAAGTAATTAAATTAAAAACCACAAAAAATTTATTTTAAATAAAATAATGCTTATATAAAAACGTTGTCTAAAAAATTACTTTAAGTGTGGGCGTACAAGGTGTACGACCGCACACACTTCCCGTGAAGGCTTGAATACTGCGCTCTCTTGCACAAAAACGAGAGCCCTTATATATAATGTTCTATATAATATAAAATACTTGTATGAAAATCAAAAGATTGGTAAGTAAAGCGTTAATATTTGTAGTATATTAATATTAAAAGTAAAAGAAATATAAGATATATAAATCTAAAAGTTATTAAGATATCTGTAAAAAATAAGTTGCTCCTATAAAATAAAAATAATTTATTATTTTTACTTTTTATAAATTTTTTTTTGCGTTTGGAAAAATAATACAAATGAATTTGTTTTGCTGTATGTTAAAAAAATACTACAATGTACTTTTTAATTGAAAGTAGAAAAGTGCAGCTTTGTTTAATTACATTTTTCATTTGTCAAAAGTCAATTTTTACAAATTTCAATACAAAGCAGACTTGATTTATTTAAAAAAAAAAATTAGAATTTGTTCAATAGGTATTTTCTTAGCACACTTTAATGAAAAATATGTATTTTAAATGAAAAATTATGTCAATTATAATTTAAAAAAATAAAGAATAGTTTAGGAATCTTTTTAGTACTTATTCTTTGGATTAAATATAATAACTTTTCGTATTGTAGTCAAATCCACTGGATACCAGTAAGTACCTGGATATATCATTAAAAAGGGTAAGTTACACTTTTATTTAAATACCAAGTAATCAAAAATATTTTTGTTCTACTTCTTATAACAGACTTGATTTTATTATAAATAAACTTTATTTTCTTGCTCATTTAAATATTTTAACTTTATCCTGATTTTCTTAGTTTTACTTATGGATGCTTTTATTTTACTGATTACTTATTTAATATTAAGTATTTAGTCTATTTGTTTATAAATTTGATATTTTAGGGAGGTGCTGGTTTAGGATTCAGTATAGCAGGAGGTAAAGACAACCCACATATAGACAATGAACCACATATTTATATAACTAAAATAATTCCCGGTGGTGCTGCACACCAAGATGGACAAATGCAAGTTGGTGATATCATTCTTAAAGTTAATGATACAGATACTGTTGATGTAGAACACATTGTTGCTGTCAATGCATTGAAAAGTGCTGGCGAAGAAGTGAATCTTGTAAGCATATTATTCCTTTATTAATATTGCTATAACACTACTAAGTTTAAAAAAGAACCAAGTTTATAAAGAATTCCTAAGAAAAAAAGAATAAAGAGTATCAACAATAAAGATAACTGATAACAAGTACATTTAAATAATTATGGTAGAAAAGCATCATTGCTTTTTTTGCTTTAAGACTAATTTTAAATCAAAACTAACTTAGTTATTTGGAAATCTGATTTTTTTTTTTTTTTTTTTTTAAATTTGGAAAATGAATTTTTAAAATAAAACAATAAATGGGTGATAAATGATTAGGAGTGTAAAAAATTCCTTTACTATGTTTACGAGTATGATCAAGGCTCAAAATAGGCATATCGCAAATCACAATTGTTAAGTTACTACAATAAGCTATAAATCTGGAATAAATAATGTATCTAAAAAGTTTTTTTTTTTTTTTTTTTTTTTTTTTTGAGTTTATTTGATTTGTTGATTTGATCAGGGTAGACTTTAAAGTGGTGCAATTGTGCTGGGGGCCCCAAATTAACCAGTTAAATGAGAAATTTAATTTTATTCAAAAAATTTCAAATTAAAGTAAAAAGTAGCTAATTAAAGTGTACTCAAATTAAAAGTTACCATATTATTTTTTCAACAGCCATTTTCAGATAACAGAGCTGTTAAATGAAAAAACATAAACAACATGGTCTATTCTTTTCAGTACTTTATTAAAATCGTGCAATAAAAAGTGTTTGCAATAAACAAGTGTGGTATTAAAGACTGCAGAGGGCACACTTATTATAATAGAAGCAACACAAAGGGCAAAAGGAGTAGTGTGTAAACAAAAATTTTTGAAGTTAATAAATGTACTTTATATCTGCCATGTGGCAATCATAGTTATAATCTGATCATCAGTGATGCAGCTTCTTCATCGGCTACATCTACTCATTCTCAGCTTTCTCAAGATATTGTCCGAAACCTGTTAAGAATGTAAAGTTGATTGCACAAAAATTTTGTGTTTCGAACTTAAAGAAGTTCCTGACACTTTGTTCGTGGTTTGTGAAAAACAGTGCAACAGTTTCTTAAGGACAGAACTTAGCCAACAACATTTTTTAGTTTATATTGTCTCTCTTTCGATTTAACATGAATTGCTAATGGAGCGAAGTGACAAAAATTTTAGAGAATATTCAATTAAATATTTCTACTAAACTTGTCAAAGCAACCCATACTATTCTTTCTAATTTCAATGACAATGGGTTTGAAAATAGATTGCCGCCTCAATCTAGGAAGAGCTTGAAATTTCTTGTGTATTTCCTACTAAGATAAAGTTGAGCTGAACAACAGTTTGATGATAAAATGCCTGACAAACAAAATGATGAAGCAAAAGAGTAGTTTTGAATAGGATTCAATTCAAAACTACTCTTTTGCTTCATCATTTTATTTGGTTCATTGACACAACTCAACAACAGTTTAGCAAACATTTTTGGGACTGCAAGACTTTGATGTCAAATTTATTTTCCTACACAATTTTCAGCAAATAAAAACTTATTCAAATGATGATATCATGAATTTTTCCACAAACTTACAAGTTGCTTTGTATATCCAATGAATCAGAAATATATGCAACAGAATAAGCTCTATTAGATGTGTTAGCATTCATTTTGCAAAATGATTTGGCTGTTATCTATTTGAATGTCTTTGTTGCTCTTAAAATAATACTAACACCTTGACTAAAGTTTGCAAACTTAGCTAAATGTTTGAAAAAAATGTTTTTGCACCATAATACCTTTGTATTTTGATTTAAATTTAGTTTTCGAAGAGAAACTTTAAAAATTAGTTTAAATAAATAATAAGATGCTGTGCACCTAGGCTTTATCTACTAGTACATTTTGCTCAAAAAGGCCTCAAAAGTTTTTTTGTACCTGGCTCCCAATGTTCTCAGGCCTTTCCTGGGATATCTTTTTATGTAGATGCATGTTTTTGCAAAAATATTATATTTAAAATTTTATGACAATGTTTTCATCAACTCTAGTTAATTAATTGAAATGATTCTATTCATCTTTTAAATTTTTTACTTTATTTTAAAAACATTTTATGTTTTTTATATTATTATATAATAGTTTTTTTTAACATCTTCACTTCCAACAAGGCTGAAAACAACCACTATTAGAGTTGAAAGTTACTGGAAGAGAAAAGATAAAGTTTATGATGCAAGATAACAATTAACAGATGATTCAAAAGACTGCAGATTATATGAATCAGGAAAAAAAATAGGGAGGAAATTCTAAAACACTGATGTTTAATGAAAAAACAGGTCCAACTCTACGCTTTTTTTTCTTTTTTGCAACTATTTCTTAATCACTTAATTATTGTCATCTTTATATCAACTATTTCTTAATCACTTACGTCATCTTTTTCATTGTCCTTATCATGATGTCATCTGTAAATTTGGTATTGCTTTCATCAATAACATTATACTTATTTTCAACATCATCCTTATCATTAACTTTGTTATTCAACTTTACTGCAATGTGTTTTTTAATCTTGTCTTAAATAGTAAGCTCATCATTCAAAGATCCGCTTCAGATATGGCGACAATATTCTATACAAGGACAGATTTTAGATTTTAAGAGATAAAGAATAAAATCTGGAGTAAGAAAGTGGCAAGCATGATAAAGAGATGCAACCTTAGCAGATGTTAATTTATCTATGGATTTGATATATGGTTTCTAAGAAATATCATATGTAAGAGTTAATCCTAGAAGACAAAGGATCGATGACTCATCAAGTACATTAAAGTTCATAAATATAGGAAGATCTAGATTGTTGCTATAACAATTTGCTGAAAAATTGAGTTTTATTAGAGTTGAAGTTCACCAGCTCCTGAGAACCCCATGCTACAGCAGAAGTGAGATCTTTTTCAAGCTCAAATGTCCCCTCCAAGCAATCAGATATTGTTGGCTTTTTATCAAGACAACAATAAATGATAGTATCATCAGCAAACAGATTTGTTTTATTTAAACATTTATAAAAACATCACTAAAAAAATTGTAGGATGTGATTGGTCAAATCAGGAGATAAAATTGATAGAAAGCAAACAATTCAGTTTGAACCATGCAAGAGAGGAGAAATAACAGGTTTGTTTATATTATAGACGCTGTTAAAGATTCTCCAGAAGTTCCTGGCGCCTAATTTTTGAGGTTATTTACAAGATTTTGTGACCTGAGAATAGCGGGCTTTAGCATTAGACAAAATCTTTTTACAATGGTTTCTAGCATTAATAAATAAATGTCTGATTTCAGGAGAATTGATTTGTTGATAAGTATGAAAGTAATGGTTACAATTGGAAATTTCTGCTGCTCAATGGGAGGACAACCATACAGAAGAGTGAGACCTGGTATTGTAGAGAGGAATATAAGACTCCTTGCCAGCCTAAATCCAAGAAGTTACATAAGAAACATTAATCATCAATAGTTTAATTATTTGCGCTTTTGATATTTTAAAGAAGCAGGTGGATACTTGCTATTTACTTAGTATTCAAAAATTTATTTAGAAAATCATATAAAATTGAAATTTCATTTTTCCTTATGTTTTTCAAATGATTTTTTAAAAAAAGTACAGTAACCAAAATTTCGGTAATTGGTTCAAGTTGAAATTTTGGTTTAATCAGTAACAGTCACAACATATTGTGCCATAATCAATACTTTTTAGATGTTGCTTGTTTTTGGTGATCCAATGAAAAGAGGAACTCAATTTTTTCAGCACATCTTATCAACATTTTTAACTATGAAATATGTCATGTACCTGTCTGTAGCACAATCTGGTCTGCAAGTATTTCATTTGCAGTAAGAATTTCAAATGTAAAAAAGAATAGTCGGTTGGTGCAAGGTGTAAATGTAAAAAATATTTTTTCAATAAACTCATTATTACTCATCTTTTTATAGCTTGCATGTATGTCAATAAAAAAAATAATGGATAAAAAATAAACAGCCCTCATATATATATATATATATATATATATATATATATATATATATATATATATATATATATATATATATATATATATATATATATTTATATATATATATATATATTATATATATATATATATATATATATATATATATATATATATATATATATATATATATATATATATATATATATATATATATATATATATATGATCAAAGTATTTTTAATTCATTAGCTTAAAAACTTATATATTTTTCCAAAATATATAGTTTTTAAAGTCATTTAGGTTTTTTAAACATTTACTTTATTATATTTTTAAGTAGCACAAAATTGTAGCCCAAAGTGGTTAGGTGTTTAATCTATTTTTGAAAATCAATTTTAAACTTTTTATCAAATTTTAATCAAGTAATGCTGCTTATGTTAGACCTTTCAATAGTTCTATGGTTTTATATGCTTTTAGAAAATTAAGCGTATTAAACCAATTGAAGAACCAATTCAGATCATTAACATTCAACTGAATAAAGGAGATACAGGATTGGGTTTCACCATAGCTGGTGGTATTGACAACCAACATATACCTGGTGATAATGGAATATTTGTCACTAAAATTATTCCAGGTGGTGCTGCTCAGAAGGATGGACAAATGCAAGTAGATGATAAAATATTAATGGTTTGTTAACATATTTCGTAATTTTTTTTAATATATAATAAAAATATAAATAAAGTGTGTATATGTCGAGGTAGCCTGTCGCTCCATGTAAAAAAATTTTTTTTGTTTTTTTTTTTTGTTTGTTTGCTTTAACATTTCAAAAGCAAATTGTGAAATATTTGTCATTTGGAGAGTGTCTTAGTTTACCACAATCAATTTTACTTTCATAATGGTGATAATATTGTGATTTATTTTTTCACATAGTACAATTTTTGTGAATACTTTTATTTTAAAAATTGATTGAAAACAGTGTTTAATTGTAATGTGAAAAAAAAAAAGCATTATTAACAAGCAAGATCATTCATTTAATAATTTAAAGAAATAAAATATTTTTCAATTGGTGTCAGTTATTCTGTAGTTTAAATTTATTTTATTTTTATATATATATATATATATATATATATATATATATATATATATATATATATATATATATATATATATATATATATATATAAATTAGTATAAAATCACTTTGCAAAATTTTTTCTCATTTAACATTGTTTCATCAATAAAGACTCATCAGAAAATTCATCAAAAAAAAGACTCATCAAAAAAAAAGAACAGAGCAATTTGTAATTGCTCTGTTCTTTTTATATTTTTTAAGTATTGTTATATATATATATATATATATATATATATATATATATATATATATATATATATATATATATATATATATATATATAAATTTTATTTATTCTTATAATTCAAAAACTCTTTATTTACATTTTTACTGTTTATCTTAATTTAGGAAAGTACAAAAATCTTTGCATAATAGTAAATAACAAATAATATTCCTAAAAATACAAAGTTTTTATATTTACAATTTTTTTACATTACAATTTTACATTACGATTGTCTTTCTTTCTTGTTTTCTCTCTACTATATCACACAAAGTTTGCTCAGAATGAAACGTGTTGCAGAGTTTAAATTAACATCTATAAAATATAAAATCATCTTTTATTTCTGATAAAAACATAATTCAACTAAAAAAAAATCATTTCAAAGATCTTTATGTCTCAAAAATCTCAGATTTATGTAGTTATGTTTAATTTTTTTTTTAATGTTGTAATACAATGACTTTTTGCAAACTGACAAAACCTAAATTGACAATATTGCAACAACGCTGTATAACATTTTTTTTCTGGCTAACACCTTTCTTTATGACATGTTACAAAAGTAATCTGATTCCTAGGAGTAGTTGTTAAAGTATAGATCTGCAATGACCTATTTGCTGCTGTTAACTATCTAGCATGTAAATGTGTTCCAAGTTCTCATCTTAACAAGTCTGCAGAGTGAATTTCACTAGCAACAACTTGTAACTAAGCAATCATATGCAAGCAATAACTAGCAATCATAAAGTTTTTTTTGATTAGTGCTGCATTGGATATTTGTCATATCTGGTAGGTTTATGTCAATTGGTACAAATGCAACAATTAGTGATTTATTACAGTTTTTATAAGCTTCATAATTATTCCAGAAAATGTGAGGGTCTTATGTAGGTTAATGAATTATAAAGTGGTGAAGTGGTAACTTATCTGTGTCAAGTTGGGATATAGACCAGTGTTAAGGCCTTCCTATTTTTTCTTCTAAAAGTTGAATATTCTGCTTTTATGACCAATTGTAATATTTGTATAATCGCATCCTTTGGCAAACAAATTATCCAATGTTTTGTATTTGTAATAAACCCAAAATAGTTTTTTATGATCTGACTAGTTACTCTAATATATTCTTTATTTAAATTGTAAAAAAATAATAATTTGCACTTGAGCTTATTTGTAAGAGCTTGATCAATCTGGGCAATGAATATTAATCAAGCAGATCAGAACTTTTAAACTCACATTTACAAGCAGCAATATCAAAGACAGGAATGTCCCTCTTCTTTAAAAGAACTCAGTAACTTTTTGTAACTTTCTTGCTGCTGACATTGCTTGAATGACTGTAGAAGCTTAGTATTTATAAGTATTTTTAAAAATATCTTTAAAGCAGATGTATGACATGTTCATGCAATACAATTGGAATTTGTGCTTTGAATCATATTTCTTTAACTCTTACTGCAACCATTTATAAACGATCAGCCACACTTTCATCTGTCTTTGTTAAGTTTCTGTTCTGGGAAATATTCAAACCCAAAATTAATATTAAATAACATCAGCATCTGTTGGCAAAACATTTCTATAAAGTTCTTTTGGCAAAACGAACACTGGTTGACCTGATTCTTTTTTAAAAAATAGAATCTTTTATTTAACCTATGATTTTTTACATAAAATTATCTTAGAAAAAAAAAAACACTTGTTGATAATTTTTATATTTAAATAGAATGAAAATAAAATTTTCTTACAGCATAATTAAATATGTAATGACTTCTTTTGCTGTACTTTATAAAATTTATAGAAATCATACTACAGAAACTATAGTTGTTACTTTTTGAAAATTTGAAAAAGGCAATCACTTGTCCTACCTTCTTTATTAATTTGTTTTTGCGTATTCATGGAACAACTTAATTAAAATACAGTATTATAGTGAGTTTTTGGCTAATGGATTTTTTTAATATTAAACCTTAAAAATTAAAAAAAATGTAATTAGCTACTCTTAATTGCATGTTTTTTTTTTAAAGTACGTTCAATATAAAAATGAGAGAGAACCCACCTTAGTGTGTGTGTGTGTGTGGTTTTATTTATATATTTATATATATATATATATATATATATATATATATATATATATATATATATATATATATATATATATATATATATATATAAATATATATATATATATGTTTAAAAAAATGTAATTATATGCATAAATAGGTAAATGACACAGATCTTCAAAACACTTCTCATGAAAATGCAGTTTTAGTTCTGAAATCAACAAATCAAAGTGTAAAGATTAAAATTGCACGAATGGCCCAGGGTACACAAAAATCTTTAGAAGAAAATTCTGCACCATCTCATCCTTCACCATCTGTTTCATTTAGTGGTATGTTATTTGTTTTTATTTAATAATTTTTTTTGTAAATTTCACGATTTAATTCCACTAATTTAACTCTAAATCTTTAAAGTCCCTTTGTAAAGTAATGGGGTAGTGTGGTTGTTAGATAGAAAGAAAATTTTACTATAACGAGTTATGGTATTATCTATAACAAGTAGTAATTAATATATTTTTTAAATTGAATTTATTATATTAATTTTAATATTATTTAGTATTACTATAACAAGTAGTATCTGCCAGTTGCAGTAACCATTTTTTAGATGTCATTAAGTTTTTATCCTATGTCTTGCCACTTTACTGAGATTAAAGTGACATCGGTTATGCAGTCTTGACATCAGGATTGACATAAAATTGTACCCTATTACTTACCATTTATATAATACTTTGTTTTGATAATTTGATCCACAGCTGTTAACTAAGGCGAAGGTGTTACTGAACAGTTGGGACAAAAATAGTTAAAACTGAACTTATCAAATTATTTTCAATATGAAAAAAACTGAACCAACCATTATATTAAAAAAAAAAACAGCTTTTTTAAATTAATCTTTTTATTTACTAGAATTTAAAGTAGCAAACAAACTAAAAATTTTAAGTAAATTTAACTTTGTAAACTGAAAAGTAACTAAAAACTGAAAAGTGGAAAATATTGGTATGTTATTTATAGTCCAATATGGCTTGAAGTTCTTGTTTTATTTTGAGTTATCATAGCAAGAACTTTTACTGAAATATAGTCATTTATTTAAGAAAACAAAAACTTAATAAAGTAAATAAGAGGAAATTGGAAAAAGCAATATCAAAGGATGCTTGTTTAAAATTTAGAATTAATTAAAATTTATAAATATGACTCAAAAGATCCAAAGTAGTTTGAGTTTAACTTAGATGAAATAGTTTTAGTTACTTATAATAGTTTTAATTACTTATAATGATTGTTTATATTGAAATATTTAATACATTAATGGATATTATTTTTTTTTAATAATATAAGTATGTATTTTTTTATGATAAATTTAAATGATTTAATTTTTTTTTTCTTCATAACTTCAAAGGATTGCTTAAAGTTTTTTTTTGTTTTTTTGTTTTAACCTTTATTTACTCAACAAAGCTTGAAATTTTTGAGTAAATTAATGAGGTTTGTAAAAAGTTGACTTTATTTAATTGTGTTATTATTTAACTAGTGTGTATTTTGTTAGAAATTTGTTTAAAAAAAATACATACATATAAAATAGATAAATTATAATAATCTTTATTAATTTAAATAAAATATAATTATTTATTGAACAATCATTAGAAGTAAGTTGTTACTTTGTTTTAAAATATTTTGTGTATTATTAAAAAATTAGAATTATTTATTCTGATGTAATTTAAAATATTTTTCTCTTAGAGTTTTAATTTATTTATTTATTTATTTATTTTTAATAGGTAAATCATAACTAAGTTTTGTCAGTACATTTTTGTAATGCTTAAATTGTCAAAACATGTCAAAAGTAATGGTCAAGTTCTTAAAACAAAATATTATATGGATGTTTAGTTTATATTTCAGAAGAAATTAAGATTGTATGAGAAATACTGTATCAGTTATTGCTTGCTATACTTTTATTAATATCATCAAATATATGTGTTTAGTTTATTAGTTGGTAAATAATTTTTTGTTAAATGAAATAATTAGTATTTATCTAAAATATATTAAATACTAATATTACTATAAATACCACTATTAAGTTGCTTTTTTTTTTAAAAGTATAAATATTTATTTTAGATACAGATGGAGGAATTACTTCTTCAATGGCATTAAAAAATAAAACAGTTGAGTATGATGACAGTCAAGATCTAAATGTTTCTAATGCAAATGATTTTACAAGGTAAATTAATAACATTTAATATGAAATCAGTAGTTTTAAAATAAGTGTATATGAAATTGATATTTTGCATACATCAATCCTTTTATTTACTGAGCTATGTTAAACTAATTTCTGTTATGGAATGGCTTTCTATCCAATGGGGATGACAATAACTTCATTTATCAGAATAATGAGAGTTTGTGTTGATGAGTTTGACTAACAAAAGTTGGATTTAATGTACTGAAAAAAAGCCTCTGGCTCCAATTTCAGAAGATTCTGAAATATGACCATTTTATATTTAGCAGATATTGGCCCGGCCCCTCTTGTTCTCTCAGCATCACAACATTTAGAAATTTCTTTTCACATAACTTTGAAAATTGTTTCCAGGGACCCAGTTATTTTTCCATAATTAAATTTTATGATTTTGACAGAGTATAGATAACTTAAAAAATAGTTTCAAAATTTTTTTTTGGTTTGAACTTGTTCCGCTAGATTTAATTATTTACAAATAATTAAAAAGTCTCAAGATTGTGTTGAGTTATGCTTAGATGTGTCAACGATCACAGTATATATATACGTCCAGTTTTTCTTTGGCATATTCTCTATAACAATCGGTCTTTCTACAATAAATTAGTTTATGACAACTATCATTTAACAGTTTTCCAAAATCACATGAATCTATTCTTACTGTAATATAAACAACTAACATTTTAGCATTTTAAAAAATCAAATAACAAAATGTAAAATTTTTCAGAAAGTTTTGTTTTTTTTACATATTCTTTTTGACTAATAATAAAAATAACGATTACAATAACTTAATAATAGTTTTATTAAGATCTAATTATTTTTAAACTTCTACGTCTTCAATGTTTAAAAAAATCCATAGTTAATGTAACTTATTTATTAAATGTATTTTTTTTTTAATTATACTTAATGAGTAAATAAATTAGATATATTTTTTAAAATATAATATGTTTTTTGTTCAAAAAAGTATATCATTTCTTAGATTATGTTTATCGTAATTATATAATCTTTAATTAATTTTAATTTAAAAGGTGCCTTAAAATCACTTTAAAAATGAAAACCTTTAATAAAAAATTTTCAAAAACCTTAGGTAAAAGTTAGATAAACAGATTTGCTAATATTTAAATCAAAATTTTAAAATTAAAACAACAATAAATACCTTTATTAAATGTTTTTTTCAAATAGTTATTTGAATACAAGATGTAAAACTATTTTGTTAATTTTACAAATATTACGCCATTTAATATATGTAAATATATTATATAATGTTAATATTGATTAAATTTTTTAAAGTATAAAACATTTAGTTACTAATTATTTAAAACATTAATAACTACTAATATTAAATTTACTAAAATATAGTTAATAAATGTTTAAAATACTATAAACAGTTTTCAATAATTATTTACAAATAGCGTGGTTAAATTCTTAAGTAAAATAGTTTTCTTATTGTGACTAAATTAACATGGTTATGTCCACCGGTAAATTCATGTATTCAGAGAAATGCCTTTAAATCAGCTTCTTATCGTCTGATAAAACTAAACAAGATAAACACAAATGATTAAAATGATGATTCGTTGCAGCACCAGATTTAACTAAGGGAGAGGGGGTAATCTCAAGAACATTACCCTCACCCAACCTCCTAATGTTGCCCGGGAAAAAAGCGGTATCCCCAAATGAACTCTGGGTTCATCACTGACTTGCAAATCAATATTCTTATAAACATAAACTTTTTTTAAATATTTTTTAAAAAGATCATTGAATATAGAAGAACAAAAACCAAAATGGAGCAAGTATAAATCAAAAAAATTTATACTTAAAAAGTTATCTTTTACTATGTTAAAATAGAAAAAAAAAAAAAAAAATGAGAAAATAAGTGGGGTTGCCTCCTGTTGCCCCCAACCCTCTGGTTGTCAGCCCTGGAAACAATTTATACACACATTCATGAGGACCACACAAATGCTAATATTTTTAGAGCTCCAGTGTGTCTGGAAGGTAGTGAAAAATCTATTGCAAAATTCTGCTACAAAAAAACATGTAACATGATTGAACCCATCTTGGACCCTAGGAATAATTTTAACCTGCACTTTTGTCAACATTTAAAAATCCTAAAAGTTTCAGAGCTCCAGCTAGTCTGAAGGTAGTGGAAAATCATAATAATCTGCTACAAAAAAAGCAAAATTTTAAAGGAATTTTTATTTTACAAAGTATAAAAATTAGCAAAATCTGAGATATAAGGTGACATTTTTAAAAATTTCTGGATCATCAAACATGGAATCACCCAAGTACAAAGTGAAATTGATTTTTCTAAAATAAAACTGAATTTGATTTATCAAAGGTTGCTAAGTTGTTAGTCAATTCTAAAATACCACCTAGTACTAAATTTTTAATTAATGGTAAGTCTTTATTTCAGTCCATAGTTATAACAAACAATCACGCAAAAACGCTAAAACAACTAATTATAATAAAATATAACTTTAAGGGAACCACGCATAGTTGAGTTGCACAGAGGTCCTTCTGGATTAGGATTTAATATTGTTGGTGGAGAAGATGGAGAAGGTATTTTCATTTCCTTTATTCTAGCTGGCGGACCAGCTGATTTATCTGGACATGTGAAACGTGGTGATCAAATCCTGATGGTGAGTTTAAAATTCCTCAATAATCTCATTAGTGAACAATATATATTATTAAAATACATTATTAAAAGTTATTGCAATATTTCATTAAATTTTTGATAAAATTTTGTTTAGGTTAATGATATTGACATAGTTACAGCCACTCATGAAAAAGCTGCTGCTGCACTCAAAGGAGCTGGTTTAACAGTCAATCTAAAGTTACAATACAAACCAGAAGAATATAATCGTTTTGAACAAAAAATTCATGCATTGCGAGATCGTATGATGAACAGTACTGGTGGTGGTAGTCTAAAGACATCAGCAAAGCGTACGCTATATGTTAGGTAAAAATATTAAAATAATGTGTTTATTTTTATATGTGCTATGAATGTATTTTATTTGAAAAAATGAAAAATATATGTAAATTTAATGTATGTTGTTCTAGCCAAATTATAATAAAAAAGGTACATATTAATTATTTGTATTCAAAATAAGCTTTTCTTAATCACTGAAAAGTTTTTTTCATTTAATCACTTCAAAATACATGGATTAGTAGAGGCTTTTTTTTTAACTCATTGAGCCCTATAGCTCATATGGTAAATTTATTTGTATATATCAAAGTTTTATCTTGAAGCATATGAGTTTAGGTAATATTCAAGTTGCATTAATTATAAAAAAGATTTATTAGCGCCAGCCATATCCTTAAAAAAAAAAAACTTACATTGAAAAAGAAACAAATTATAATTATGAGTTGCTTATAATCAAGGGGTAAGTTGGCACACTATATTAAAAGTTAATGTTTAACGTTTTACATATGTTTAATTTGAAAAATTTTTACACCTTTTTTTATGCTTTTCTTTTTTTATAAGGAATCTCAGTTTAAAGATTTTTTATCACTATCATGACTATAAATTACGTTTTGGTAATAATTATTTAATAATCATCTTTAAATTTTGTGAACTCAAAACATATTTTAGTTGCCTTTTTTCACACAAAACAAAAGCGAAATTTAGCAGGGCAGTTTTGGATTCTATCATGTAATTTTTACCTTTGAAGCAAAAGAGTAAATTTAGTAATTAAAAGTAAAACAAAAAAATGTTTTTAGCTATTAACAATATAAATTTACAACACCATCAATAACAATAATAATTACAGTCATCACAAATGAAAAACAGTTTCCAGTTATGCAAGATTGATGAGCCCAAAGCTGACACTTGATCCATTAAATTCTTTGGTTTATTTTTTGAAAATATTTCAACACAAATCAAGCAAGAAAACTCTTGTAAATGATCAATTCAGACTTTTTTCTATCAAGTATAAACTTTTTTTGCTAGTTGCTTTTTTACTCATCCTAATATTATTATAAAAAATAATTTCAAAATCACAAGGATTAAATTAAATTGATAAAATAATTGTTAACATTTTTGAATATTGTATATTGAATAAGTAATAACAGTTTGCGATGTAAACTGCTCTACCTATTCTTAAATATAAATTACTCACAATATCTTTTTATCTATCAATATCTTTCTTAACTTTCATATAGGATTTTTTAACTTGATTTATAATTTGAATAGACAATCTCTTTTTTTATTCAGCCATTTTTCTGAAAATAGATTTATAAAAATAACTATTTATATAGCCTGTAATTTTATAAATTATGGAAAAAGTTAACTAAAAAAAAACTTTCATTTTATTGTCATTATATACTACAAAATTATTCCTAAAGTATTTTTTCGTGTCAGCCTGGGTTTTTAAAGTAATAATCATATTTTATAAAAAACATCTCAAAAAAATTATACTTGTTATTAATTTTTTACACCGTCTTAAAAAACATAGCTTTTATGCAATAAATTTTAATAAAATATTATTTATGTAAAATGGCTATTATTTTTTAACTTATAAAATTTGCATGCTTTTTTTTTAGATATTATTAGGGATCTATCTGGTTTTTATACAGTTTTTAGCTTCCTCACAAAATAATTTCTATACAGAAATATTTAAAACTTAGTATTATTTTATCATATAAAACACTTTTCAGAGTTCAGAGCAGATATTTCTTAAAAGTATTGCTTTGTGAGCACCCAAGTATAATTATAATAGTTGTTAGTTATTAATTAACAATTTTTTATTTTAGTAGGATTAGTTAAAATAAAAAATATTTTTATTTTGTAAATTAACACATGAGTTATTTAAAAATGGTTATACACACACAATATATGAAAATCTTGTTATACACACACAATATATGAAAATATTGTTATACAAACACAACATTTGAAAATCCCATTAAAAAAATTTTAATGTAAAAATTTTTTTACGTTTAATAAAAATTATAAGAAAAGTATAAAGAAAAAACTAATTATTTTAATTTGAAATGATTATTACTTTTTATATTTAAGGACATTATTTAACTATGATAAAACAAAAGACAGTGGTTTACCATCACAAGGGTTAAGTTTTTCTTATGGCGATATTCTTCATGTAACAAATGCTAGTGATGATGAATGGTGGCAAGCATATAGACTCAATGCTGCAGGAGAAGAAGAGGAATTAGGAGTTATTCCAAGTAAAAGGAGGTGCACATTTGTTTGGGTTACAATCAAACACTTTTTAATGAAATAAAAATTGAATGTCTAACAATTATTTGTATTTATTAAAAATAAACTTTTTTTAGAGTTGAGAGAAAGGAAAGAGCTCGTCAGAAGACTGTTAAGTTTAAGCAATCTCAAACAAGCGAGGATGATGGGAAGGTTGGTTTTACAATAATAGACATGCTATTTTAAATTTTTTAGGACATTCTTTTAAATTTTTTTTTTTTTTTTTTTTTTTTATTTAGAATAGTGCAAATTCAAATGCATCATTTAATTCAAAATCTAAACGTAGCTTTAACTTTGCTAAACGATTCCCCTTTAAAGGACAAAAAGAAACTGATGGAGAATCTGAGACTGACACTGTTGCAAAAGATGAGACACTTGCAAAAACAGAAGAAATTATTTTATCTTATGAATGCGTTGCGCAACAAGAGCTTAAATACACAAGACCAGTTATAATTCTTGGACCTTTAAAAGATAGATTGAATGATGATCTAATACAAGAATTTCCAGAAGAGTTTGGAAGTTGTGTGCCTCGTATGTGTATTATTATTATTTATTATTTTAATTTTTCAAGGTGGTAGTGGTTTCCAATATAACCCCTGCTAAGCTTTGATATTTCAAACTAAATCAGGAAAGTAATTTCAGGTTTGATTCAAAAATTCTTTATTTATTGGAATCGAATCAAGGTTCTTTATAAACTATTTTTAATCGTGGTAATTTAATTAAAAAATTACAACAATAACTTTAAAAAATTTTCTAATTATTAAAGTTACTTTTTTTAATATTAGAATGTTATTACTCTAACAATAGTAGCTGTCATAAAAATTTCAGTTTTTAAAAGTTTCTCAGTGGGTGCATGTTTTTCTTGCAATGTCGCACCTTTTACAGACATCCTTAAAGTTTGTATAAATTAATAGATAAATAAAAGCATGTATAAATTAATGGATAGACAATAGCGCAAACAAGTACTTGTCAAAAACGGTTTTCTTATTTTTATTTAGATTTTAATTATAAAGATTTGTTGTCAAAATGTTGCTATTGATTTTTTTAACATTTTTTAAACTGTATAAAAATATTCAACTACTATTTTCATGCTTTGCAAATCTATTACATAGAGAGCGATTAAGTTAAGAAAACAGTTTATAAATTGATTTTTAATTAAATAAACTACTTCAAATTTCTAGTTTTCTACATATAATGGTGATAAAATTATACATTTTGATATCTCACAATTTTAACATCTTATTTTGAAGTAAAATGTGCAAAACTACTTTAGGTGTACAAAACTCTTGCACAACTCCACATTTCTGTAACATGCTCAATGGCATTTTTTTTTTAATGTATCAAAGATGCTTAAAAAACATCTTTTTTGAACCAAACTTAAGTATGTTTGTTCGTGCTTCCGTCAAATTAGAATGATTTGCAAAAATCATTCTAATTTGAAAAAAAAAATTTACTTTTGTTTTTTAAAAACATTTGAGTTTTACATTTTTGTTGAAATTAGACACTACAAGACCTCCTCGAGATCATGAAGTCGATGGTAGAGATTATCATTTTGTTACATCTCGTGAAAAAATGGAAGAAGACATCGCTAACCATCTTTTTATTGAAGCCGGTCAATATAATGACAATCTTTATGGTACAAGTGTTGTTTCTGTTCGTGAAGTTGCAGAAAAAGTAAGTAGATTTTTATGATAAATGAAATGAAATGAAGATAAATATGAAAATAAATGAGTTTTATGAAAATTAAATGAAATGAAAGTTTTAGAAAAGATGTTCTAAAGTAGTTTTAGAAAAACATAATATTTGTTAAAATCTTCACAATTTAAAAAAATCAACTTAAAAGTTATAAAGTTTCTCAAAGAAGTTATGTTGAGTTTCTCAATTTAACTTTCTGTATTACAAATTGCTGGCGAAAATTTTTTTTGGAATCATCAGACTGCTGTAGTTGTAATGAGAGTTGATGTGATGAGGATTTGGTGGATTAGCTGGACCTTCTAAAGACATCACTAATTAGAGTTGGTGGTTTAAGATTTTTTTTTATTTCCAAGTAAAAAACATCTTCAACTACCTACTCAACCAATCGACATTTTTTGTTCAAGTCAGCCTTGACATTTTTTTGTTCAAAATATTGTGTTCTCAAAAGAAACATATTTACAAGTTTCAGACATGCGCAAAAAACATCCTAATCTTCCACTTTGTCTAAAAAATGTTCTAGTTCTGAATAAGTTAATTTTTATTGTTCACTCACATTTTCTGATGAATAGTAATTGAGTGGGTCAGAAGCCAAAGGGTACAAGTGACATTTTCATAGTTTTGAGATACAGCTGTTTAAAGTTAAAGTATTTTTGTTAAATATACTCAGCTGTTGTTATGTTTTTCCAGTAGAAAGCAGCACAGGGCAGAGATTCACTTGTATCCCTTGGCCACCAACAATTTTGTTTGCTTCTTCTATCAAATTCTATACTTAACTTAATTTTGGTAAAATTGTACCCCTTGGCTTCTGACCCACTCAATTATCTTTATCATAAAGAACCTTGATAAATGCTGATTCAATGTCATGCACTAAACACCTGATAATTTACACTAATATACTTTCTAATTTCACTTTCTTCATTATTGATGATCCATAATTAATTTTCTTTAACAAATATTTTACAATCGGCAAATGATTTTATAAAGTTTTTTAATATAAATATTTTTAATATAATTTGTGGAATTATTTGAATTCTTAGATGTTGTAGTTGTAGTTTTGATTGGTTCATATCTTTAAAAATTTATTTTTGTACTGTATTTTTTTTTAACTTCTCTTTATAAAGTTATTTTTGTGCTGTATTTGAACATACCATTTGTACTGTTGCTAGAAGTTTTAACTGTTTTTAAACATTTCTTACATTGACCTGCACTTTCATTCTCTACTTGTATGAAATAACTCCATGGTGAATTTTTATCCTTAAGGTGTTTGCATATTTGTATATGCAGAATGTTTATATAATAAATTATGGAAATAGTATTTCTATCATTCTGGCAGTTCCCCTGTGATGATAGATATATACTTGTTTTTTTTTTTTTTTTTTTTTTTTTTTTTGATTAATAAGAAACAATAAGAAAATGTTATTAAAAAAAAAAAGAAAAAACCCCCTCTTTTGATATGGACGGATTTAGGGGGATTGAGGAGAGGTTGGTGGTTTTGGTGTAAAAGGGGGATTGGGTTTTTGGTTATAGCGAGGTGGTGGGTTTGGCGGTGGTGGTTATGGGCGATGGTGGTGGGTTTGGATTAAAGTGGTGGTGGTAGTGGAGGTTTTTTTATAAAAAAAAAAATTTTGTATAATTTTTTTATTTATAGTTTAAATTTATAATACATAATTTTATACATCACTAATAATATTATTTATTTGAATTATATGTATATGTAATTACTTCCTTGTTTTAATAATTTAAAGTGTCTAGTAGTAGTGTTAAACTTGCATATTTATGTGCGAAACAAACAAGCTGAGATAAAACAATTTTTTGAATTTTATTAATAATATCCATCATTTCAGACTTTTTAGACTCATTTCAGACTTCAGATCATTTCAGATTTTTTCAATAATATTCCACCTTGTCATTAATTTCTTTAATTTCTCTACATCACAATTATCTTTTTTGTGATTCAAATAAAATGGTTCATCCACATGAAAATCTACGTTTGAGTTTTACTGTTGAGAATGCGGAACTGATTTTTTTCTTCGCACTATAGTCATATTTATTATTTTAATTACTTTATTTATATGTTTTTTAATTTATTAACTTCATTGAAATTACACCTATAAATAATGCACCTACATACGAATAATAAATTACAACGTAATAAATAATAAATTTATCATATCACAAATCTTAATTATAAATATTAGAATACTAAAAAAATTATAAACATAATTCAACAAACCACCACCACTTTTGCCACCGCCACCACTTTAATCCAAACCCACCACCACCACCCATAACCACCACTGCCAAACCCACCACCTTGCTATAACCAAAAACCCAACCCCCCTCTTACACCAAAACCACCAACCTCCCCTCAATCCCCCTCAATCCGTCCATATCAAAAGATGTTTTTTTTTTTTTTTTTTTTTTTTTTTTTTTTTTTTTTTTTTTTATAACATTTTCTTATTGTTTCTTATTAATCAAAAAAAAAAAAAAAACAAGTATATATCTATCATCACCCCTGAATAAATCAAATTAATGTTAATTCTTATTGGATAGATAATCGCAGTAATAAAATTATGCATTTCAATAAACCTGTATTGTAATCTCTCCTAATTAGAGATCAGGAAAGTGATATCTTTTCCAAAAGCTTTTTTTACAAATAAAGCATAGTGGTTTTTCTTTGCTATTAATCACAACACTAATAAAACTATAGCTGACATAATCAATATTAAAACCTTTTTTCAATATTGATTTAATTTTTAATATCATATCAATTGCTTTAATATCATAATTCAATATTAATATTCTTCAATGTACTTTTTCTTTTTAGACTCTTTCTTTTCTTTTATATCTTTTTAAATACAAAATCTAAATTCATGACATTGTTGGTTTTTGCAAATATATTCAAAAATGAAAAATAGAATTAACTGTTGATTTTTAGGTTAATTAGAATTGGAAATAGGAAAACTATTAAAAATATTCGAGCATAAAAATTAGCTAAAACAAGAGACACAAATGTATTAAAACAAAAATTAAGAAATTAAATAGAAAAGGTTTTTCGGAATTTATACTCCTTAAGATTTTTTTTTTAATTTATATTCCTTTTTCTAAAGCCATAATTCAAAAGTATGGGGGAGGGAATTCGCTCTCTATTTGGAAACACTGATTTTTTAATCATGAATAAAGTTAATATATTAAACACAAAACACTATTATAGCCATCAAATTTTAATCCTTTGAAAAATACTTTTGGTCTTTGAAGTAACTTTTAATCTTTTTAATCTTCTTTCCTCCTAAATTAACCAGACCTACTTGATCTTAGTGAAACAAAATTATATTCAACTGTTTTAACTTCAGACCTCTGTGTTGATGGTTATTATCCTTTAATATGCAAAAACTTGAATAATTACATGCTAGTCATATTTATTGCATGTATAATAGTTACAAATATTACATATACAATAATTACATATACCACTTGAATTCTCTTGTTAATGTGCTTTTGCTTAGCAGCTCTTCGCTCATTCACTTTTCTCTTTATCCTTCACTGCTTCCTTTCTTCACACGACTACACTTTTCAATGTTGTTTTGTTATAAATTGACAAAGCCCTTCCTCGTTTCTTCTTTCTACTCAATGGTTTTCTGCTTCTTGGGCAGCTGCTATATATGTATTCTTTAGAACAAAGATCTTTTTATCATTGCTAGAAATCAATGCAAAAAGGTACAGTCTGATGCTCAAGTCCGTTATTCCTAGATTGCTTAATCTCATATTTTAACAAAAGCAAATCTAACATTCCATCTCTCACATTTGGGTCTAATCTTATTACCTAATGTTACCTCTCACTAGGATAAAGCAAAACTATTTTTAGAGAACTTTTCTTCTAATTTATCTCTTAAATCTCACACTTTTTATCTTATCCCAAAGAAACAGATTAATCCACTGTTAAAAATTAAAATCATCTCTGCTTCTGTTGCTGAAGTTCTTTTTAAACTCCTCTTCAGCTTGTGTTTTGCGCATTATTACTGTTAAAGTCTTACAAAAGTTAAAAATAAAATTCTTTAGAATTCTGTGCTTTGTAGCATTTCTCTTCAGTCGTGTTTTTATATCTGTTTCTTGTGTGTTCTGAAATTCTTTAGTGTTCTGTTTTTTTTAAATTTCTTTTTTGCTCTATTACTCCCTCTGCTTTTTCTTCTATTTTTGTTCTAAATTCTATTTCTGTTATTTTTAATTCTAGTTAAATACTTTTGAAAAATTAAACTTTAACTTTGCACAAAATAGTTTTAAAAGTTTTTTTCCAAAAAATTTTACTATTTTTTATGATGAGAACCTGAAATAAAAAATATTTCAAGACTCTATTACCAAATTATTAGTTATTAAAAAAAGTTTAAAATAAACTTTTTTTTTTACTGTTGCAGAATGTTAGAAGTGTTTTTGTGCGTGTGTGTGTGTGTGTGTCTATATATATATATATATATATATATATATATATATATATATATATATATATATATATATATATATATATATATATATATATATATATATATATATATATATATATAGACACACACACACACACACACACACACTCCTAACAATAAACAATGAAAGTTTATTTTTGAATGTATATAAATATACTAGTGTGTCCGTGTCTCTCTCTCTGTATATATTTACTTTTTTTTCAAAGGGCAAACATTGCATATTAGATGTTAGTGGCTATGCAATTAAACGCCTTCAGGTGGCTCAGCTCTATCCAATATCAATATTTATAAAACCTCTTTCCGTTGAATGGATGCAAGAAATGAACAAACGTTTAGTTCTTGAACCAGCACAAAAAGCTTTCGAACGTGCTCAAAAACTTGAGCAGGAGTTTGGGGAATATTTTACCGGTAATAATCATAATATAATTAAATTTAATTTTTGTTTTTAAGTTTCTGTTTTATCTTAAAAATATGATGAAATTGTGAGGTTTTTTAACTTTCCTTTTGATGTTTTATTGTAGCCATCGTTACTGGAGATTCTTACGATGAAATATACTCTAAGACGAAACAAATAATCAAGCAGCAAAGCGCTCCCATTGTATGGATTCCAACCAAAGAGAAGTTATAATGGGATTTACATAAACGGTCTGTAAATTAGCATTCCTACGCTCTAAGTCACCTATACTAACCGAATTCTATGAAATAGATTATAAAAAACTAGACCTTTATTAAACGAATATTAGGCTAGGGTGCTTTGGGTACTTTTTTTCGGAACATATTTTTAAATATCCGCAATAGTCCTAAACAGAAAATTCACTTATGTTTCGATATTATGCCATTCTTCATTGTTGCTTTGTTCTGAGAACAAGTTATTAACACATTAGTGTGATTTTTAATTTTAAAGATGTCTATAATGTTTTTTATGGTTAATTTTTATCTTGCTTCTATTAAAAAGCTTTATTTAAACAACTTTATATAACATTCTCTATATATAAAAATTCCTAACAAAAAAACATCTTTGAGCAAAATTTGGAATGTTTGCTTTTATGAGTTGTCGTACTTATGTAGTTTTTTATGGCAACGATTTGGAGAGGTTTTTTAATGAGCTTAAATTTAGAAATTTTAGTAAATGAATAAATCTTTTTTTATAATTTATATTTTAATACTTGTGTAATTCTTATCAATTACTTTATAATTTCTATTAGTAATGTTTTTTTTGTTTTTTTCTGTACATAGGGTAATTATCTCAAGTAAAGAGAAAAATTTTATTTTGTGTAAAAATTGTTTTATATTATTGTTAACCCCTTAGATGATTTGCTTTGATTTTTTCAAAAGTTGTTACTATACAATCAAAGCTCTGTGAGAAAAAACAAATCTCTTATGTTTTAAATTCAAAACGACTTCAGTGAAATGGACTCCTTTTTAGAAATAAAAAAAAAAGAAAACCTGGAGTAACTTCAAAACTCCAGCTAAAATTTTCAAAAATAACTTTTTATCAACGAAGTTATTGTGAAAAGAACACATAAGAAATAAAATACAAGAAATAAGATAATAGAGGTATAACAAGAAAAAATTAGGTAACTGTATAATAATTCAGATTGCTAAACAGTGATAAAAGCCTATCTAATGCAGTTATGAAAACTTTAACTCTAAGTTTGTCTTTTTATTTAACCCTGTATTGTGTAAAAAAAATTCTGTATTAAGGTATTTTAAAATGACTTAATCAAAATTAAAAGTTTAAAACATAGGTTTAGAAGAAAAACTTTAGGATTGCGTGTATTGTCTGCGTGCTTTTTAATTATATTTATTTACTTTTGAAAAATGTTCAAAATACAAAAAAGTGAGACACGTATTCACTAAATTGCTTTTATGTTACAAGCACTTGCTTGCAAGAATTGCTCTTATGTTATAAGAACTTGCTTGCAAGAATTGCTCTTATGTTATAAGAACTTGCTTGCAAGAATTGCTCTTATGTTATAAGAACTTGCTTGCAAGAATTGCTCTTATGTTATAAGAACTTGCTTGCAAGAATTGCTCTTATGTTATAAGAACTTGCTTGCAAGATTTGCTCTTATGTTATAAGAACTTGCTTGCAAGAATTGCTCTTATGTTATAAGAACTTGCTTGCAAGATTTGCTCTTATGTTATAAGAACTTGCTTGCAAGAATTGCTCTTATGTTATAAGAACTTGCTTGCAAGAATTGCTCTTATGTTATAAGAACTTGCTTGCAAGAATTGCTCTTATGTTATAAGAACTTGCTTGCAAGAATTGCTCTTATGTTATAAGAACTTGCTTGCAAGAATTGCTCTTATGTTACAAGAACATGCTTGCAAGAATTGCTCTTATGTTACAAGCACTTGCTTGCAAGAATTGCTCTTATGTTATAAGGATTTGCTTGCAAGAATTGCTCTTAAAGCAATAAAATTTCAATGATAGTAAGTGTAAAAGAGTTAATAAACTACACATTGTAGATCATTGTTCAGTATGTAGATTACATTGTAGATAAAAAAAATTTAAATCGACTTGAATGCAGACAGTGAATGCAAATTTAATATAATGGTTGCAAAATAAGTTCCATACTTTAATAGTTCTTTTGCTGTAAAGCAATCTTTTATTATGAATGTTTTCTTGTTAAATAAAGAAAAAGGAAAAAAAAATCAAAAAATGGTAAATCAACAAGATTAGTAAAGTAGCAGAGACGCAACCACAGGCCGCTTTTATTGCGTTTACAAAAGGATTTCGTTCAAAAGTACATATTTCCAGAGAACTATTCCAAAATTTGAACAATATCTAGCGCCCGTAGACGAAATACTTAGTCATTTGTTGTTGCCTATTCTTTTTGGAAAAGATACGCCCTTTGAGGATCACATTAGAAAACTTTTTACATTAACTCTTCGAGATGGAGGATTGGGTATACCTATAATAGTTGAATAAGCGCCTCACCAGTTTTTATCATCTGTGAAATTAACTAAAAATCTTGTACAGCAAATTATTGTTCAAGATTTTAAAAACAAAAAACTCTTCCGAGATTGTTCTAGAAGATTTTGAAAAAATATTCACTACTGACAGACTTAAGCATTGCAAAAAAAAAATAGTTGCAGTTGATTCAATGCAACCAGATTCTATGTTAAGAAACATACAGCAAACAAGAAGCGAATTTGCAGGCACCTGATTAAACGCCTTACCACTAGAAAACCAAGGTCGTCATGATAACGTAAGAAATTTGTTCACCACAAATTTCTTACGTTATCATGACGACCTTGGTTTCTGCTTAAAAGAGTGTGTATAAATGTTCAATCCGAACCACACCTCATACCCCTTGATAATGAGAATTTTTAATTCAATACAGCAAATAAAAGTAACCAAGCTCGTTTGGATATTAAAGCAAATGGTTTTTGGCGAAATGGACAGACAGCATTTTTTGACGTAAGAGTTACGCATATCAATTCCATGAGCAACAAAAATCTAGATATAGCTACTATATTCAGAAAACACAAAAAGGAAAAAAAAAGAGTGTATGGCGAACGAGTTCGTGAAGTCAAATATGGTTGTTTGACGCCACTAGTGTTTGGTACAAATGGAGGTATGGGTAAAGAATGTCATCGGTTTGTTAGAAGGCTAGCGGAGAAACTAGCGGAAAAACAAAATGAAAAATACTCAATTGTTATGACGTGGTTAAGAACGAAGTTATCTTTTGAGATACATCGCTCAACTACCCTTTGTTTAAGAGGTTCAAGAACACCGTGGACTAAAAAAAAAAGATTTTGAAATCGGAGTTGATTTTAAGATGGATGCTCTAGAAGCAAGAATCTGAGTTCTTATAAATTTATATTATAGCATTTTGTTTTACTTGTATATTTATATTTATGATCTAATGCATTTTGAAACGCAAAATAAACATTGTCTCACTCACCCCTGTTTGTGGTGAGTGAGACAATGTTGTTATTGAGTCAAGAAGACACTAGTACGACATTTAATCTGTTTTACAAGTTTATTTATGTTTGTTCAGAAAAAAACCTTATCTGCATTGCACTGAATTTATTAAAATCAAATCAACAAGATTATGCGTAATTTTATGTCATAAAAAGATAAAAATTAACTCAGCAACACTCAACAGATTTGAGTTGAAAGACAATTAGTCTTGATAAGTAATCATTATATGCAAAATGATATCTTTTTCTGACACTTCTGGTAAAATAATATTGGACTTTTTCTGCAATTTAAATCTTTTAAAAGGGCTTTAAACTGCAGTACAAGATTCTAGTACAGGCCACACAAACTAAATAATAAAATTGTGCGGCCGTGGCGCAATGGTTAGAGCGCTTGCTTTATGAGCAGGAGATCCTGGTTCGAAACGAACTCTGAACATATTTTCACGTCGCAGTAAGGAAGGAGGCGTGAACTTCCTGGTTAAACACACTTCCGCGGTGACAAGACCGTTAGGCCTTCTTGGGGCACCTAAAAAAAAATTATTAGTGATGCAGATTTGCTTAAGTAGGTAAGTAAAAGAGTATACTATATTATTTGATACAAGATAATAAAGGAGTATATTTGAGATACGAGATGATGAAGAAATAAATTTCAGATACGAGATATAAAGGAGTATATTTGAGATAGAGATAATACAGGAGTAAATTTGAGGTACGAGAGCAATAATTAGAGAACTTTGTATCAGAAGATATGATTCCAATATCCAAAATTGAATAAACAGTTTCAATGTTAGTGACGGAACTTAAAAATAAGAATGAATAGATAAAAAAAATATCATCTGTAGCATGAATGAAAATATTTGTTGATTGCTATTGTTGCCAATCATTGGACCTTGTAGAAATTTTTTTTAAAGTATTTACAAGATGAATGTTGTTGTAACCATTTCTAGATTGATATCGTCTGCAAGCAGTTTATTGCCACAATCTCCACCAATGCAAGAAATAATGTCATTAATTAAAATTAGGAAAATTAAGATGAAAAATTAAATGGTTTATTACTGTTTTTAAAAACAAAAAAAAGAATTTTAAGTTATTTAGTATTGCGATTTTGTTTTTTTATATTTACGGTATAGATTAAAGAGGCTTAGCGATAAAACAAATTTTGTCTGATTCTTGCCCCTGTTATGTGTATTTATGTTATGTCTTACGGTTTGAAAAATTTTAGAAAGCAAAAAAAGCAATTTATATTAATATATGTGTTAATACATATCTACACAAATGTTTTATAAAAAGTAAAATAATTTCAATTAATGCGAATGAAAAGACAAAATAAGAATTCGAAAAGTTATCAAAATTTAAAAAAGGAATTATTATTTTTTAAATTTTAAAGTAACTTTTTTTTTTTTTTTATCATGACAATTTAAAATAAAATTTATATTTCAAAATAACTTTTGGAATAACCATCATATTGTTCATAAATTAAAAAACTAAAAAAAAATAAGTTTAAGCTTTTATTTAAACTGAATAAGAGTTGCGCTTATTTTTAATATCATTATGAATTATCTTATTCCATACATTTCGGTATATTAAACAACGGCTTTGAACGTGAGAGGCAGTACCTTCTATAATAACCTAGCTGCGTGCTATTGTTAAAATAGTTTTATTTATAGATGCACAATCCAAACTAATTATGCAATCGATGATTGCATAATTAAAGTCATTTTGCTTAAGAGTGTAAATTTATGTTTTTAGAAAGTTTATTTTCAATCAATATTTCAATCATATTCCTTTTTTTATTAAGAGTTTCACTTATGAATTATATTGAGTATTCTCTTTTAACCTATATATTGAGTATTCTCTTATACGATAACATTGAAAATTATATTGTGTTATCTTTAATAATGATAAGTTGCGAAGGTTTAGAGGGATTTTTATCTCTTTTATGTAAGCGATTAAAATAGGTTGTTTTTAGTAGTTTATATACAGTTTATTTAAATTTAAACACTCAGTTAGGTTTGAAAGTTTAATGTTAACCGTTCTAAAAACGTTTTTATTTCGAAAATAAAATATTTTTGTGTTTTAAAATGATATTAAATTACATAGAATTAACACAAAACAAACTTGTGTCATCAGTTAATAATATAGAACCTAACCTTTTTAAGGCTCTGCTTATTTCATTAAAATGTATTAAATGTAAAAAAAGACCCAAGTTTGTTTTATTTTCAGAATAATATATTGACATTTATTAGAACAGTTAAAACTAAACTTCTAAAACTAACTGAATTGTTAAATGTAAATAAACTGTCTACCAACTTTATTAAAAATATCCTTTTTTTAATCGCATACATAAA